ACTTAGTTCTTTGTTTGTTTTATATTTCCATAACTTGAAATATAAAACATTTCATCTCTTTGGAAAGCTACACCTCTTGAGCCATAGCATGCAGAAGACATTTCAGATGTCTTGTAGATCCCAAGGGACCTCTAGCCTACTAGAAGTTTTATGCTTTCAGACTGTGTTTGCTGAAATGCTGTCATGCTGGAAATCTGAGTCCATAGAGACCATTTGAAGACATATCTTTTTAGTCTATCCTTTTGCTCATTCTTCTTTCTCCTATAACCATTTCTGGCACAGCAGATGGGACCCCAGTAGCAGGCAGGGGAACGAGAAGACTCAAAGAGGGAAAAAGCCTATAGCAGGTAACACTGAGCATCCTGTGTTACAAGTACCACAAATATGCAGGTAGATTTTCAAAAGCATCCAGTGATTCTGTGAGGTCGAGTTGTGATGTCATTGAAGGGCTGACTATTGTACAACAGGCTCTTATTTTAGAAATAAATGAAGAAAGAAATGTACTGGAAATTTTCAACTTAACATGAGGCCATTTAAATTATGAGAAATCATTTTTCTCTTCTACTTCTAAATTGACTCTCCCTTTGCTTGTATTTAGAATCATAGAAACATCAAGGTTGGATGAGACTTTAAGATCATTGGATCCAACCGTCCACCCAGCACTACCAATGTAACCTAAAATACTAACACATATCACTCAGTGCCAGATCCAGAAGCTTCTTAAATACCTCCAGAGATTATGACTCACCCTGGGCAACCTATTCCAATGCCTGACCATCTTAACAGTGAAAAAAGTTTTTTCTAATATCTAATCTGAATCTCCCCTGTCTCAGCTTAAGGCCATTTCATCTAGTCCTCTCACTGCAGGTGCAGTAGAAGAGACTGGTCCCTATCTCACTAGAATCTCCTTTCAAGTAGCTGTAGAGAGTGATGAGGTTCCCTCTGAGCTTCCTGTTCTTAAGACTAAACAAACCCAGCTCCCTCAACCATTCTTCGTAAGATATATTTTCTAGACCTTTCATGAACCTTGTTGCCTTTATTGGGTCTGGCTGAGCTGGAGTTCATTTCCCCACAGTAGCCCTCACAGTGCTGTGCTTTGTATTGGTAGCTAGAAGGGTGTTGATAACACACCGGTGTTTTGGCTACTGCTGAGCACAGCATCAGCACTGTGACATTCCTTCCTCAAATGAGGGCAAGATCCTGGGAGGGGACACAAGTAGGCCAACTGACCCAAACTGACCAAAGGCATATTCCAGACCATATGACATCAGCTCAGATATAAGAGCTAAGGCAAGGAGCAGGAAGGCAGGCATTCATTGTCTGCAATGGTTGCCTGCTGAGGAACCATTATGCATACCAAAGCCCTGCTTCTTGGGAGTGGCCGACCATTGCTGCCCATGGGAAGTAGAGAATAAATCTTATTATTTTTGCTTCGTTTTTGCCCACGCAAGCTTTTGTTTTGGCTTTAACAAACTGCCTTATCCCAACCCACAGGTTGTTTCCATCTTACTCTCTCCCCTATCCAGCTGGGAAGGGGAGTGATAGAGTGGCTAGGTGGGCACCTAGTGTCAAGCCAAGGTCAACCCACCACACTGCCCTTCTTCAGACACACTCCAGCACCTCAATGTCCTTTTTAAAGGGAGGGACCCAAAACTCAAGGTGTGGCCTCACCAATGCCAAATGCAGGTTGGGATGATCACTTCCTGCTGGCTACACTATTCTTGATATTGGCTAAGATGCCATTGGCCATTTTGGTCACCTGTACACACTGCTGGCTCATGTTCAGCTGGCTGTCAACCAGCACTCTCAGGTCCCTTTCTCCTGAACAGTTCTCAAGTCACTCCTACAGTGACTGTAGCACCTGTAGTGCTGCATGGGATTGCTGCAACCTAACAAACAGGACCCAGCACTTCGCCTTATTACACCTTATGCAGTTGTGCTAAGCCCTTAATAGAGTCTGTCCAAGTCTTTCTGCAGAGCCTTCCAACAAGCAGATCAACACTCCCACCCAACTTAGTGTCATCTGCAAATTTACTTAGGGTGCACTCAATTCCCATGTCTACGTCATCAATAAAGATGTTAAACAGGACCAGCCTTAAAACTGAGCCTTGGGGAACACCGCTAGCAACTGGCTGCCAACTAGATTTAGCTCCTTTCACCATAACTCTCTGGGCTCAGTTTTTTAGCCATTGGAGAGTCCACCCATCCAAGCCATGAGCAGCCAGTTTTTCTAGGAGGATACTGTTGGAGACAGTGTCAAACACTTTACTGAAGTCTAGATAGATGACACCCACAGTCTTTTCCTCATCTACTAAGAGGGTCACTTTGTCATAGAAGGACAAAGTTGGTCAAACAGGACTTACCTTTCATAAATCCATGTTGGCTGGGCTTGATCCCCTGGTTGTCCTGCATGTGCTGTGTAATGGCACTCAGGATGAACTCTTCTGTAACCTTTCCCAGAACCAAGGTTAGGCTAACAGGCCTGTAGTTCCCCAGATCATCCTTCTGACCTTTCTTGTAGATGGGCATTACCTTTGCTAATTTCCAGTCAAATACTGGTTTGGCAAGTTCTTTCACCAGTTCTCTCATTACTCAGGGGTGGATACCATAAGGGCCGTTAGACTTGGGAGTGTCTAATTAGCATAGCAGGTCAGTAACCATCTCCTCCTGGGTTATGGGGGCTTCACTCATCTCCCCATCACCAACTTCCAGCTCTAGGAGCTGGGTATCCTGAGGAAACTGGTCTCAATATTGAAGATTGAGGCAAAGAAGGCAATAAGTACCTCTACCTTTTCTTCATTCCCTGACGCTGCATTACTTTCTGCATTTGACAAATGATGGAGACACTCCTTGACCCTACTTTTGCTGCCAGTGTATTTATAGAAACTTTTTTTGTTGTCTTTAACTGTAGCATCAAAATCAAGTTCTAGTTGGGCTTTGGCCCTTCTCATCTTCTCCCTACATGACCTTGCATCATCCTTGTAGTCCTCGCAAGTTACCTGACCCTCCTTCCAGAGATGATAGATTCTCTTTTTTTCCCTAAATTCCAGCATAAGTTCTCTGTTTAATCAGGCCAGTCTTTTTTCCTGAAGACTTGTCTTTCTACACATGTGGGGACAGCTTATCCTGAATATTTAACAATTCCTTTTTAAAGCACACCCATCACTCCTGGAGTCCTTTGCCCTTCAGGAAAGTCCCCTGACTCTCAAGGGACTTTGTCAATCAATGTCCTAAGTAGGCCAAAGTCTGCTTGCTGGAGGTTCAAGGTGGAAGTTCTGCTGGTGCTCTCTTCCTTACTTCACCCAGGACTGAAAACTCTACCATTTCCTGGTCACTATGTCCAAGACGGCCACTGACCACCACATCACCCACCAATCTTTCATTGTTCAGAAAAAACAGGTCTACTAGAGCACCTCCTCTGGAAAGTTTATTTACCAGTTTTTTTAGGAATTTGTCTTCCGCACACTCCAGAAACCTCCTAGACTGCTTCCTCTCTGCTGCACTGTATTTCCAGCAGACAACTGGCAAGTTGAAGTCACTCATGAGTACAAGGGTCAGCAAGCATGAGACTTTTGCCAGCCACTTGTACAATGTCTAAAGAGCTTATAGTTATCCATTGTAGCACTCTAGTTGTGAGAGTCATCCCACCATGTTTCTGTGATAGTGACTACATCATAACTTTCCTGCTGTACAGTGGCTTCCAGCTCCTCCTGCTTGCTGGCCATACTGAGTGCATTGGTGTAGATGCACTTCAAATGGGCTAATGGTTTTGCCTCCATCCCAGGTATGCCACCCCTAGGCTCATCTTTAGTGAGCCTGGGTGTGGTGGGGGAAAAAAAGTTTTCCCCCTGGAGTTAAAAAAATGGTAACCCCCAAGGGGGTGGTGTCCCTTGGGGTTGAACCAATCAGCGCTCCTGCAAAATATAAATATATCACAACCAGACCGGAAAAGAAGGATGTTGTAGTTGTTGGGAAGTGGCCATGTTGTAAAGCCACGAGGAGAAGGGGCAAGAGCCCCTCTGGGGAGCCACGGCCCCCCAGCCCCCAGTTGGAGTCATAGAAACTCGGAAACAGTATTAAACTGGACCAGAGTCTGTGACTGAGAAGCTGAGAGTCTTTCTCCACTGTGAGTGGGCAGCAGGAGATACTAAAAGCGGCAGCAGGGCAGCAGTGGACGCAGAACCATGGCAGAGAGCCAGAAAGAGATAAGATGCAGCAGAGACGGCCTGCAGCCAAGCAGGAAGACACAGAGATCTCTAACGGAGAGAGACAGAGCAGGACTAAGCTCTACAGAAAGAGAGAGTTTGGGGTAAGAACTGAAACAACCCCCCCAAACCCCTCTGAGACCTCCTAGAGAGGAGGAGGAGATGGACTCCTATTTGAGAGGAGTCTTGGAGTGCAGCATGCACCGGAGAGAGGAGCTAAGAAGCTCAAGACATCCTGGAACTGGACTGGGACGGCTAGACGGAATGCGGAGGGGGTGACCTTGCCGCCCCCCCGCTGCTGCTGCCAAGCTGGCAGCAGCTAAGACAGAGCACAGGAGCTCTGACAGAATGGTTGAGGCAAAGGCTTTCAACTGAAAGCTGCCCGAGACGTTCTGACTCGGGGGTGAATCCCCTGAGGAAAGAGACCGTCATGAAGACCCCCTGCACTTCATGATATGATGTGGTGATGCGAGCTTGTCCCTGATATCGCAGTCCACGGGAGAGAGAGGGGGTGAGAGGAGACCCCCCTTGTGTGTAATGGAAGGAGATCCAGCTACAGCAGTCCAGCTACAGCTAATGCATGGAAGAGGAGAGACACTGCTGTTCTGAGAGTGGAAAGGATCTCTTCCTTCTTCCCTTCTGAACTTTTATTGGACGGAGAAGAGATTGATCCATTGTAAATACTGATTTATCATAGGAGAGATAGTTAAGATTATGTATATGATGTATTGTAATATTTATTTGTACAGTGATTGTAATATAATTCCTTTTCCCCCCATATTGAGTCTTGTGTAGTGTCTGGAAAACCCATCTCACTGGGGTGAGATGTGGGAGGGGGGCTTGGACTCGAGAATTGGATTTTAAGGGTCTCGAACTACGACACCGGTCTTATCACCTTCCCCCTTTGAGCCTAGACTTCACAGCCTGACTAACTTCTGGGACATAATTTCTGTAAACCTATTTGACTGAGCTAAGAAAAATATTTATGGGGTAGGCGTGTTGCAAAGATTTGTTCCATATTGTAACTGAAGTGGTTTTGTTGAGGATAATTATCATGTCACAGTGTAATACTAAATGTGGTGTCTCAGGTCAGTTAAGAATTTAACCATACTGACATTTCAGAATTCACCAGTGTATATAATGCTTTTATGACTGACAGGGTGGAGTGACAAGATGCTATCAGACTTATTCAGTACTAGCTTTAGTCTAGAGAAAAAAAAAGTCTTACACTGAGGAAACAGTATTTACCTCTATTCCCTCATTTTTCAAACACTGAGAAGGGATGGTAGTTTTCTCAATTGTTGCAAAAATATGTTTGAAAGACACCATCTCAAAATTCAGGAGAGGAAGACAGAAAAGAACTGATGTTTCTGAAATGAGAAAGTTTTCATAACAGAAAGAAATAATCAGGTGGTATTTTAACAACTGTTTTAGCACAGATCTAAATGTAGTATGTGAAAAGGTGACATGATCTCATTTATGGATTTCCTTTGTTTCTTTGACTACAGTTAGAAGAAAATACTTCATAAAATGTGTTCTGCAATCATTTAATTGTTAGCAAGTAGTGTTCTCTGAAAACAGCTTTATACATACAGCTGTACTTGTATACAATATGTACAGAAACACAGTAACAGACACTTCCAAAATGTGCATATTGGGCTAGCAATACATCCAGTAAAGCTCCAGAAAGATTAACTAATTCCGGCACACCATGCTACAAGAATTTGAGAGGAGCTATATACAGTTTAGGTTACTTACTCAAAACAGACTTGGAGTATTAGGCCTGGGAAATAATGAACCAAAATTGTGCTGATTTCCTGACAAGAAGGAGTTATAGTCTAGAACACCTTCCCCTCGCAACAAAAAGAAACATAATGTAGCTTGCAGTTCTGCCAGAAAGCTGGCTCATGCTGTCCATAACACACACAGCACTTTAAGATGCTGAGTGAAGAGTATGAATCAAACACAAGCATCAAATCTACTACAAATTAGATTATTATTTTTCCGGTAGGGCACCTGTATCATCTGGTAATGTCCCCATCAGACAAATGCATTTAGGAAATAAAGAACACAATGGATTTAGAAGTCCTGTGAAATGCTATGCAGTGTAGAAAGTTGCTAAACAAAATCAGGAGCTGGGAACCAGAAAAAAAACAGCACAAATGAATGGGAAACTTGATTGCAGTCAGTGATCAGCACTAAGAATTGACAAAGGAAGATTAAGCTTTTGTGGTTTGCAGGTGTGAAATATTTGTGAGTAAAAAGGATTCGAGACTGATCAGAAGTGCAGAATCCAAAACTTTGGGAACACTAGATTGTGGAATACCATTCCTAAACCACGACAGGTGACAATTTGCTAAACCATTACACAGAGATTTACAAGTTCGAATCAATTGGCTCCTTTGTGTAAAGCCTTCCAAGGAGCCACTGAAGCCACAGGGCAACAGCAATCAGCTAGGGCAGGTAGTATGGAGCTGAACTACACTGAACTTCATAAGTTTTCTCATTTGAATGCTGCACACAACTTTAACTACATTACATCACCCTATAGGTCCTTCCAACTGGACCACGCTGGTTGACATTAAGAACTTCAATCTGTTACTTTCCCTGTTGAGTGGTAACAACTGGGGATTTTTTTTCTCAGATAATTGGCTAAATCATGTACAGATTACATCAGTTTAACTTCTTGCTGCTTTAAAAATTGGGGCGGGGTATGACTAGTCTTGAAGACGGGAATTGAGAAAGAAATTTTGAACTTCCGATGGTTCCACAGTTACAAACAGAACTAAATAAATGCAAGTGCATAAATAAGGACAAAAGGAATAGTGAGTTGCTACACTGCATTAGCACTTCAGCTTTTGAAATTATAAGGCTGGAAACTAATTCTGAAATCCAATCTAAATTTCTGGTGTACTTTCTAGTATTCACCTTAGACAAGTCACTGCAGAAGTCGAGGATACAATGTTGTGACAGAGAGATCTGTGCTGGCGCAGTTCCATCCAATTTCAAAGAGAAAGGTATTTAAAATTACATTTGGCTCATGAACTGGCCATAACAAAATAATTTCACAAGGTGCCCTTATCTGCCATTACTGCCCCTTCTCCTAAGAATGACACTGAGCATTTTCTCTCTGAAGCTCAGACACAAAATAAACCCTGCCCCAGCTAGCCTCTCACCTGGCTTGGGAATAATTATTCATCTGACACCGTGCAGCTGTGTAATGGGGAATCAGCTCTGACTCCCCAGAGTCAACTCTGAATCAGAGCTGACTCCCCCAGCTCTGTTTTATATGAACAGCCTTGCCTGAGCAGCAGAAATATGTTTCTGTCTTTGTGCCTAGTTGACTACCTGTGTTGGCATGTGAACTGATTAAAAAAATTTAAAAAAAAAAACATATTATTTTAGGGCTGAACTTCTTGCTTTCTTGAGATCTGAAGGGCAGTTTTGCAAGCTTTGTATGGAGTATCCCTAGCAGAGATCTGTAACTGAAAAAAAGAGGAGCAGATCCTCCTAGCAAATTTGTTCTGGACATGATGGTAATTGGTACTAGAGCCTCACACAGCATTCCCAGTTGTTTTAATCCCAGGTCTGCACTGACCATGTACTTTGAAAATGTCCTCCTAGGAATAATGACAAAGATGTATGCTGCCCATGGCACTAGAATGACTAACAAAAACATTAGAAAATCATTTTTTTAGGCAGCTCAGACAGGATTTTCAGAAGTGCATGGACTATTTATGCACATGAGCCTTCAGGAAAAGAAAGTGTCAGATTTTCAACAGTACTGGAGCCTTGTTGAGACTGGTAAACAGTGTGTGCATTAGGAGTAGATCTAGAAGACAGAATAGAATCACAAGATAGTTAAAATTGGAAAGGACCTCTAAGATCATCGCATTCAACCATTAGCCTAGCACCACTATGTTCACCACTAAACCATATCCCCAACTGATATATACACACTCTTTTTGAACATTTCCAGGGATGGTGATTCCAGTACTTACCTAGGTAGCCTATTCTAATATGCCTGATCACCCTTTCAGTGAAAACATTTTTCCTAAAATCTAATCTAACATTCCCTGACACAGCTTGAAACTATTTCCTCTCGGCCTGTCGGTTATTACTTGGAAGAAGAGACTCACCCCCACCTGGCTTCAACCTCCTTCCACGGAGTTTTAGAGACTGATAAGGTCCTCCTGAGCCTCCTTTTCTCCAGACTACATAACTCCCGCTCATTCAGCAACTCCTCATAAGACATGTGCTTAAAACACAGAAAGCAAACAGCTGGTACTGAGCAACCAATGCCAGCTACTCATGCCAGCCACCCATGTTTCATTAGTTGGGGGTTGTTTCAGACTAGGACTTGTCTGGCCCATGGTCTGGATGATCCTTAGCGATCAGAGTATGTTGAGTGCGCTCCTGCATGGCATCCTTCAGTTTGGTTTTGTCTGGTATTAATCTGGGTTCTGCACTCTGAGATCCTGCTGAGCCGTATGAAGACTTGCCACAGAACCCCTGTGAAGTAGCCACTCAGAATTTTACCTTCTTGAATGTTCAGCCCTCCCAGTACACTTAGCATCCTTCTTAGCTGTGTACTGATATCAACAACATCAGTTAGCAGCAAATATATAACATGTAGAAACTCTAAACCAATGGTGCCACAGTCTTAACAGTCAGAGAAACGAGCTTTCAGACACTGAGTTCTAGAAAACCTGCATGTTGCACACATTTTTCTTTTGATATGTTAACCATGAAAAGAATGAAATTTTAGCAGATAAACTTCTGACCTCGGCAGCAAACAGAAGCTTCAAAGAGTAAAATCTCATCACGTATGTCTACCAAAGTGAACAAACAAGGTGGATTTCAACGAGGTAAAGATCTGGCACTCAATACTTGAATACTTTTTTATCTGAAACTAGAATTTATGTGTTGTAATGGCCCTTTAATTGAGTCCAAAATGCCTAACAGTCTTAATGAGCAATGTTTGTAGATACCACACAGCTAAAATAATGCAAAATCTATTAGAGTAAAACATAAGCCTGGATCAATATTCAGTTGAAAATACATATTTTTTCAAATCAGAAAATCTAAACTTTTAAAAGCAATATTATATCAGATACCCTGCTTTCCTTCATGTTAAACACATACTAGCATGTCCTTTAAAGTACAGTGTAACACCAGTCAGTTTTGGTTTCTCAATAAAATGTACTGCTCATTTCTATCTAAGAGTCAGACTAGGTGTGAGATAATCTGATACTGGCCAGACTTTGAGAGAACCTCTATTTGGAGTACTTAGACAGTCTAATCACGAGAGCCAAAAGTGAGTTACAAACTGCAAATAAAATGTTCAAATTTGTTTCACAGTCAAAAATTACACATGTTAAATCATAATGACATTTCTTGTTTCAAGTTGTGCCCATTCAGTTGTGTCATGGTCGTTGCTGTGTGCCTGGTATTGCTTTTCAGGGAAGTCATTTGAATGGCAGAAGAGTTCCGCAAGTAGCTGGCAGATCTCTCTTGCTGAGCTTTCTTCCTGCAGCAAAGCTGGTTGTTGAAATGCCTTCTGAAACTCTCACTGAGAAAATACAATGCAAATGGGTTGACACAAGAATTGCAGAAGCTTAGCACTCGGGCCACTAAGGTAACAACCATATGTCCTGTTGATGGATCAATCTTATTGTAATGAAAAGATCGGTACATGTATAGCACATGGTTAGGAAACCAGCAGATAGCAAAGAAGCCAACAAAAACTAGAACGATTTTTGCCAGACGTTTCCGAGTTTCCATCTAAAAAGATGAAGAGAACCCAAATGAACAACAATGAATAGAACTACTCCACATAACAGACTTAATTAAAACGTAGTATTTTGCTTTATATTAGCTTCAACAACTATCATAAGTAAGGCCAGTAAAAATGCTTCCTTCACGCGTTGAATTACTTGTTCCGTCTCATTTACTTTCCTTTCCCACTTTCAGTTTACTTTCACTGACAGATCCTAGCTGTTTGCAGTTACACAAGGTTGCTCTTTCTATACGATATACACAGCAAGACTGATTCATGACCCAAGGAAACATTGGCTTTTAGCCTAAAAGTAAGCTCCAAAGGATGTCATGAACCATAATCTTTTCAGTGCTTGGCTTGAAACTTAAGTTTTAGTTAGAAAGCTATTTAGAAACTGTTGGCTTTAAAATCTAGAGACATTGTGAATGAAATGTAGAGACATTATTAGGGTGTTAGCCATTCTATATATATATATACATATATATTTATATCCCACTGTTTTTCCTGAAGTGCCTCAGCTTGCCCCTCTCTCCTAGAGAAACCACCAAAACTGCATTACACAGTATAAAGCATCTTAATTCCAGGGTAAAGTGAAAGGTTCCATTAAATCTTCAATAATGACATGAAATGTACCTTAATTTCAGCACTAAGTTATAACAGATTACAGTGACGCTACTGAGAATGGCTGAAAATTTGGCAAGATATGAGCCTACACAGTGAATCCAAAGCGAGAGAGAGACTGGACAGATAGAAGGCACCAAAGAGAGGCAGAAAGTTTCTTCATATTCTTCCTAAAAGATTTATTATGTATATGAAGTATGAAAATTTTGCAAATGCAGGAAAGTTTTCTAGTTCTGCTCAATTTTCTGGAAAAAAAAATGAAGCAAATTTATTCTAACAGGGTTTCAAAATTTGTGAAATTAATCTTTAAGTAGTTTTCTTGTCTCTGTCTAAACAAAAAACAGTGGGGAATTCCCAAAAGATGGGAATACTCTAACATTTCAATTTGGTAGCATTTGCACTCATATTGCAAGAGCAAACTAAAAGGTGCAGAGGCAGAGAGTGAATTTTACACTTGGCCTAAAGAAACATGATTTTATAGCAATAGTGTGAATTTATTTCCTCTTGCTGGAAGACATGTAAGTATACCAGAATTTTCTATTCTTCTGAGCCTCGTAGATTAAAAAAAGAAAAAAAAAACAAGTAGAATGAAAAAATATGTTCTTACTTTGAAAATACATGTGAGTTCAGAAATGTGATATAAATTAAACATTTTTTTCCATCTAGAGAGTTCAGCCAAAAGGCTCTCTATATTTCACAAGAAAATAAAATAATACCTGAAGTGCTAATATGTACGCACTTTTGACAAGAAACAGACCAGAGCAGAAATGAAATGCTGCTCAAAAAGGACATGAGGGAATGTAGTCTTTCCTTTAAATGAATATGCACATACTATATATGCAAGGAGATTTCAGTTAGTATGGGAGTAGTTTTATAAAATACTGGAAGAGAAAATCATTCAAAGTTGTTTTAATAGGCATAAGTATTTTTCTCTATCACTACTAATGCTTTTGCAAAGTGGTCGAGGCACTTTCACTGCAAAACTGGTGTTTGTACATGTGTTCCTGCTAATGTTGCTATCTTACTGCTTCCTGTGCCTTACAGGGAAGATGGCTTAGTCCAGCATTTTAAAAAGCTTTGTCTCAAAGGTATACAGAATCTATACCAGGAGTGTTATAGCAGAAAGGATAACAGAAAGGATATTAGAAAAGTGAGAGTTCAGGATTATATCCAAGGAAGATCTACTCAGAAAGTCAAAAAATAATCAGTTAATGCTCTGTGTTCATCTTTTCAGCACTCCTTGGTCTGAGAAAACCTTAGATTTCCTACATAAATTTTCCCTGCTTATGTCAGTTTTCTCATTTCCAAGCACAAATAAAAGAGGGACAATTCTCAAAGATTTCTTTCCCAAAATGGCTGCCTATAGAGACAGGTGAAGCCTGTCTACAGTAACTACAAAAAACATCATTCTTTAGTAAGAACACAAGTAATGGTTAAATTAACAGCATATACAAGCACATGTACCAATGTCATTTACTGTTAAGAATGTGGATTGGTGGCATTGAATTTATATTTTTCCTTGCTCATATTAATTTACATACTGGGCTTAATACTGAGTAATTGTGAAAACTAGGAGATTTTTCAGATAATCCTTGTCTTAGTTGATGTGGAAACTGAACTCATCTTCTGTAAAATCCAAACTATTTGGGTGTTATAATTCCTTTACTTTCATTTATAAGTGTATACAAAACACAAATCTTTCAACAGGATGTAAAAAGCAAATTGCTTACCTGTCTTTTGGAATGCTCACTGTATTCTCCAGGGATGTTGTGAGCACTTTTTATTAAACTCTTTGCAATATGATAGTAGTAGATACTAATAATCACAAGAGGCACAAGGAAATATACAAGGAAAAGCAGCACAGAATGGATCTTTGGGTGCATGTCATCTGTCAGGGGGTATGGTATGCACGCTGTGAAAGTGGCATTATCCGTGTCATTGATGTGAGCCAGTTCAGAGAACACTGCTTCAGGAACTGCTAGGAGCATGGAGATTACCCAGATGGCAGTGGCTTTAAGACAGGTCCATAGCACTGCACTGGAGGTCTGGATGTCCATGGGATTTACAATTGCTTTGTACCTGAAATTGATCAAAATGCAGATGCAAATTAAAAGGTATTCAAATTCAACATGTGATGCACAAGATCACGTCATGGTTTTGATTAAAATAATATGTTTTGCTCTTATTTGAAATGTCAAGAGGCTTGTAATCTTTCTTAAATTTGCATTCTCTAAATCTGTACCTTTATTTGTATACATATTCATCAGAGGTGGCAGAGGGAGGCACCGTAACCTGTGGCTGTAGGTGCCCGTTCCAAGCCAGTGTGGTGAAAGCCCAGAATCAGCCATGACTCTGCACTTTCTTTCTCCAAATACCCCCCAGCAAATCTCCAAATGTGCATCCTACCTCTGTATTTCCACCTCCCTCTTGTACCAGCACACGCACACTTAGCATTTCCTTCCTTCCTCAGCTCCTGAAGCCCAGGGCTCCTTCCTGTCTGCCACCATAGCTTTCCTACTCTAGGATAGCCCCCCCAGTCCTCCTCAGAGGAATATATACATCTCCATGAAGTCAGGCAGAAATTACTCCCAACAGCCTGCAACTATTAAACTCTTACATAAAGTAAACATTTCCACATCCATAGTTGGAAGCTGCTGCTCTACGCTGCATTTTGGAAAACTGTCTCATAATATATGATTACATATAAACCTTTGTGGAATTGATAATTTCATAGCCCTTACAATGAAAACAGGAAGAATTGCAGAGAATGGAAATATCACTCTACAGCAAAGTAAAGTAAACAAACAGAGGTAGACTCTGGTCAGGAATTATTTTATTAAACAACATCATTGCAGGAAGGGAGAAAAATTGAAATTTTCCACAAGAAAATGTACATGCTAAAAGGGCAAGTATACTTTGAAAAAAATTTATGGGGGATATCTTAATGTTTTCCTTAGATTTTTTAATTTATTTTTTTTTTGTAAGTAAGTTATGCTTTAATGTTTTTATTAAAAACTAAACCTTAAACAGAACATTTCAGTTTGTCTAAGGGGCGGTAATTTGGAAGGTTGCTTTGTCTCATAAGTTCTTTTAGCTTTCTCAATTCTTTTGTTTTTATTTTCAATGTGATTTGAAATGGCTGGGGGTTTTTTCTGAAACAGCAAAAGTTTTGAGAATTGGAAAAAATATTCTTCTTTAATATCTAAAGGAAAATTTGATAAGAAGAAAGGAGTCAGGAGAGATTCATACTTCAGGTACATAACTTCATCCATCTTCAGGTCTTTCTAGTCAGTGGAGATATACTTTCAAAGAGTGATTCAGATTTCAGGTGCATTAAATCACGCTCTCAGGTGTTTATTTTTCTCTGTTAGCTATACAGTGAGATTAGACTGAGAACTCTAACTTAGATGCCTATCACTTTGTGATAAAACTCCATATCCAAGTATCTAGATACACATACATGCATATAGACATTTAAATATGTATGGCTATGAGCAGGGGTCTAAATATATACCAAGGGTTAGTTTATACCCAAATATAACATAGTTGCTGAAGGGACTGCTGGGAAATGGAGTTGTGATCCCAGATATCCTTTATGGCTAATTTGCAAGTCCTGACAGGTAGTTCATAGCTTTTCAACACCATGAGCAGATATTTGATGAATTTTGGATTAAAGCTGCACCACCACACAGCAACTTTGAGTTTGCTGGCAATCAGCACTGCAGCTGGCTATGCCATGAAAATGTCTGGAGCAGAGCACTGTCTTGGTATCTTTTCTTCTGAGAATATTTGAGTCAAAATGTGCCTTGGAGTCCTCTGTCTCAGAATTGTGATAATTTTTTTTATCACTAAATAATTGAAAATAATGGCTATTTATGTGCATATCTTCTCTGAATTCGGAAAGATTTTTACTGTATCTTCACCCATATCATGCAGTAGAAAATGAAAATCAGCAAACTGTCTTTGTTAATCTATGTTTACCATTTCTGCTAACGCACAATGAGAAACTCCCTGGACACCAAGGTGTAAAGAAATCCTTTATACTGCCATAAGAAGGACAGAAGCTTCTTCACAAAGCATGAATACTACCCAACACAAACTGTGACCTTATTATTCAATAACTGCTTCCTATTGCTGTCCGCCTTGATTTCATTACATAGAGACAGACCCTCTATTTCATTTCATTCAACTGAGGTGACGTCAAGTCCTTACATCTGCTCATTTTTAAAAAAACTTTACATTCTTTGGGAAGAGCTGGTTTGGGGTCTTTGGGGCATGGGGAGGGCATTGGACAAAAATAATATATTGTATTACAGATTACTTTTAGCTTTTCTTTCCCATTGCATTGCTTCAAACTATTTTGACCACAGCCCTATGACCCAGGACAATGACCGTTATCACAAATAATTGTTTTAGCATTTGTTAATATATAAACAGAAGACCTTTTCAGAAGTCTTCACATTAGAAAAAGACGTGGCATATATTTCTACTTTGGCTGTTTCAGCAAAATATCATGCTTTTCCTTGAGCTATGACTGACTCCAGTTGGAAGGCACTGGAGCAAAGTGCCCCTTTTCACAAAACAGCTGAGTTTAGTACAAAAAAATTTCTTTTATTCTACTTGCTACTTTACTGACTACAAGTGTCCTCCTTCTTCCTAGGGCTCAGCTCTTCACAGTACTCAGTGTCAACGAGAAGAAAAAGACACTAAGTGCTGTACAAAATCCATCATCTTGTTCATATCTTTGCAAAGATATAGAGTAGAAAGAGACAGGTTACAGATAAAATCAAATGTAAACTGAATGAAATGAGAAGTGTTCCCAAAGTGAATACACAAACTCTAAAGCATACCACCAACCATTCAAATTAAAAAAAGCATATTTTCCGTCAATTAAAAACCACCAGTAAATTGAGCAAAGGTGCAAATTAGTCAAATTAATAAATAAATCCATCTTTTTCTTTACTTCACTGATGGAAAAAAAGCAAATTATAGATTTATGTGAAGTTCAGGAAATATTCATAAATACGCATTTGGTTTTAATTAGAAACCTTCATGTAAATTCTGTCTTCCTATATCCTTTATCATTATGACTGTTAACAAAGAGACCCCAACTCAGGAAACACTTCCTTTCTTTGGAGCTGTGGTTTCTGCCAACAGACACAAGCACAAACTTGCCCATTCTGCAGATTGGTTCTGTTTGTATAGTGTTTTTTCAATAGAAAGAAATCTCCTCCCTTCTACACAACCCCAAAAAATTGATGAAAAGAATATCCTCTTCCTCCAGCACTATAACATGTTGCTACCTTATAAATACCAATCTATCTTATTCTCCTAACTTCTGTTTTCAAAGCCATTCGTAAAGGTATTTATCAGCTTCAAACTAGAATGGAAAGCTCTATTCCTGTCTCTGCTGCTTCCACAATGCTATTCCCCTCCCACACACTTGACTTTAAAAGAAGCTGCTTCATGCTTAGAGCTAAGCTGTCTTTCCACTACATTGCTGCTTCCTTTTCTAGAGTACTTAGTTGTGATGACCTTAAAAACAAACAAACAAAAAAAAACAACACGAAGCATCTAGACAACACTTAGGCAGCAACTGGACTAAGATAACAGCCAACAATTCCAACCAGAATTGCCACAATATCTCCTTGCCCTTTTGATTCTGGATTGTCTGTTGTCATTTCTTAAAAACCCTTCAGATCAAGGACTTTCTTCTTGTTCCTGTTTATATAGCACCTATCACAAATAGGACACTAATTTATAATCTAGTTTTCTACATGCCATCACAATGAAACTAAATACAATAATGAAGTGTCATAAAGCAAGGAGAGACACAATCCATATTATCTGGCTTTAATTTTCATTTCAATCCTGAAGCTGGAGGGGTTGGTATAATTTGCTTTCTCATAAATAAGTTTTTTTTAAGTGATGTTGCTGTGCCATAGTACCGCATTTCCTGAAAACTAGAGTCATTTACCAAAACCATTCATGTGATAATCTTTTATTGTGTCACTGCATGGTGATTTCAAACACAAAAAACCTAACAACATAAAACATATCTGAATAGAAAACACAGCTGTATGGTCAGTATTTGTTGAAAATACAAATACCGTGTCCATTCCACTACAGTAGAATGAAATTTTGGATAGGACCAAAGTCCTTTTCCTTGTATGGCAGTTCATTTGACTCAACTCCAGTTGAAAAATTAAGAGGAGAACAATTTATCTAGCCGAGAACAATATGGGATCATTTGATGTCCCACATTTGTGTTGCGCGAATTTCTTTCACAGCAGACAAACTGAAATTTGCATTTATTCTATTTTATTCTTACAAATTCTTGCAATGCAAAAAAGATATCTTAATGTGTTTTTTTTCCACAGATAGTCCCAATATTTTTATTCTGTGCTTATCTCTTAAAGGCAGAGAATTGCATTCACTCAGGAATGAGCACCTCTTGATATAATGAACAGTATTTGAAATGAAGACCAGCAGACCATGTGTAAACACACTTAAAGTGAATGTCAATGACATGTGTTCTGTGTTTCTTAAGGGGAAAATCCCAAGATTTTCCCAAGGCAAAAAAGTTTTCTACTACAGAAATATGCTTTGTTGAGCCAAAAAGCTATCAATAATGCTTCAACAAAAAAGTCTGATTTAAACTTTTGGTTGATGATTTCTCCACCCTGAAAACAATCAAAACAGAAGTTTCCCAGGATGATGGGTGTTTCTGCATGAAATATATTACCTGTCCTGTCCACTCAGTGTATCAGAGAAGAAATTTTGGTTTTCCTTTTCATTTTTCTTGTCTTGCTACTTCTTCCTCTTGCTATTCACCTCACATTAGCTAACTATGCTTCTTACAAGCTCGCACAAATCTTGCAATGCTAACTCATTGCCCACAATCTGGATTTTTAGTTCTACTTCTCTAAAGCCATTTATTTATAACTGCAATAGTTAAAAGTACCATCAGTAATTTCTTCAATTCTCCTCCTGAAAGAAAAATTAGTAAATTGTTTCAGTGGCTATTATTCAGAAAAGTTCATATATTTCAGTATTCCCAGTAAATTTATATTTAAGTTTGATAATTCCAAGTCACTCATCAACATATGTTCACATATCTTAAGACAGACAAATAGGTGTTCATTAGAGTTGCAGTTTCTCTAAGTTTCTACTTAGAGAAAAGAGAGGAGAGACAAGATAAGACAAGCAAACATGAATGTAATCTAATAAACACTTACGCTACATTTATATGAGCAAACTAAATAGTGCTAGAGTCTATTCTTAGGCCTGGAGGACAAGCGGTATTGGCTGGACATCCATGACTAGTTCAACTTTTTAATATCCCAATATGAGACCACCGCTTCCAACAAAATTAGGCAGTTTACACTTCTATTGGTAATGGCCTCTGAGCTTGTGTTTAATACTGGATCATGCCTGAAAATTGTTTAGGAGAATATTGATTGACCCGGGTGAAAACCACACCATGAACTGCTCTAACAACTGTTTGACAAATGGCTGACTTCCAGCACTCAGGCCTATGCTTTGGTACTGTTGAATATGGGTTTGTGAGTATATATATATAAATATATATATATATAAAACATAAATATATGCAAACATATTTATGTATATGGCAAAAACCCCACATGCTTTCAGGTGCCTGGTCCCAAAAACATTATCCAGAAGCCTCGCACAATGGTTGACCCGTTCCAACCTGCTATGCACATTCTTTCTTAACTTCTAAACTAAACAAGCAGTTGTATTTCCCCTGCTGTGCATGCCAGGATTGTACCTACTTAGTTGGCATCTAAGCTTCATTAGGATCCTGTAGCTAAGCACAGAAAAGCTGAGGAGCCTGATCTCAAAGTTGTGTTTGAATAATGACTGGAGCACACCAAAATCATTAACCTTCACAAAACTGCCATGGCAAAGGCAGCTCTGGTACCTGCCTCTCCAAGAACAAAATGGAGCCATTCATTCAGCCAGGGTGTCGGAGAGTCATTGATCAGGCCTGCTAGACAGCGGCTCAAAATTAACATTTCACTTGTGAGGAGAGAACCCTGTTCTTAAAGTACAAGGCAGTTTAGCATGTGTATTCTCTTGGCTTTTATTGCCTTTCTGGAGCATTTACCTCATTCCAACCCTAATTTGGGATTCTGGATTTTGGATTCTGCTCTGGAGGGGTGGAGAGGTGGAGGGGAAAGTCAGCACCTAGGCTAGACACTAGGCATTGCAATGTGGAGCTAGGACACCTTACCTACTATTGGCTTTGTTCACTCATTCTCTGCTCTCTATTTAAAAAAAAAACACCTGGAAAACAAGAACTAATCTTGTTTTATCCTTCCAGAGTTTATGTTCTGAAACTTCAAGGGTCAAAGGACTTTGAGAAAAGAGAAACCCGTATCTCCAAATGGGTTTGATCCAAATTCCATTGATACCCCTACCTTTCAGTTGATGAGACAGAGATGCATGCTTATCTGCATATTCACAGCATACTTACTACATGTCTCCCAGCAACAATATCTATACATATTTGAATGAAGAAGATCTCACAAAATCATCACTGATTGAGCAGAAGGTCAATAAAAATATTAGTCACAGACACTAAAGTGCCTGGAAGCAGAAATCCTGAGTGTAAACTATGTTTAGTGCCAGTTTACCTTTATAAAAGTTCTGCTGTTACAAAACATTTCCTCCTGTTTCCTTGAGGAACTCAGTTATAGTCCATGCCATGGCAGATAGCATACTATTGCAGAGAACATCACATGGTCAGATGATTTTTAGAAATGTTACAAGCCAGGAAGAATTAAATAACCAAATCTCTATTAATATATCTAGAACAGACTTAGATTTTACTATTTGAGAATTTAGACCCCAAATTTCTAATTTCTAAATTCAAAAGCAGCAACTTCATTTATTTGCTCCAGTATTATCATCTAGAAGGCTCCACTCTGCCACTTTTAAAAAAGTTTCCAGTTCAGTTTCATTTGCAACTTCTATTCTTAGTCTACCCTGAAATCAGTGTAGACGAAAAAAACAAGTAAATACCATGGAAAAAAGGGAAGATTAAAAAAATCAGAGGAAAAAGTTAATATAGCAATCCTTAAAATACAAACAATCAGACAAACATGGAGCCAAAACACAAACATGACAATATTTTTAAAAAAATACTGTGAAAATCAGTTGGAAAAAAATGAAACCATATTTGGGATAGTCATGTGAGGGAAAAAACAAAATCATACGAGATACAATGACAACATATTGAATAATCCATTTCTTTCATGTTTGTACACGCACCACAATTTTATTTGTATATATGCTCACACAAAGCTGGAAATATACAAACCTGTATGCAGCAGATGTAATTACACCAAGCTTCATGTGGGTTGTTTGTCTCTGGTTATTTTCTCTGATATCTGACAAGTTGTGTGAAGTTAATGCCAAAACACACTTCTCTGTAATGGACACCAAAGGAGGTTTCCTCATACATTCCACAAATTTCATGAACTAGTAATAACTTACTTTCCATTTGTAATTACACTATCAAACTTGGCTGAATCTCAGCATAGATTTAGAATTTCGTAGTGGAGATACATGTCTAGACCTAGGGAATGTGACTGCATATACATTTTTTCATTAGTACATACAAAAACACATAAAAATAATTTAGCACCAGGAATATATAGTCTGGAAGAATGGTTCTGCAGCAAAACTCATATGATAAATACAGAAGTTCTTCTATAATTAAACTATTCAAAATGAGGACTCAATTAAACTATCCCTTTTCAGGAGAATATTTGAGAGTTCCATCACTCTGCACACATAGAAAAGAGATCTATTATTTATTCTCTAACAAATTTATCATCACAGTAAACATGTAAAAGCTTTTCCCTAAAGAAAGCACACTTGATCTTTGACATAATTTCTAAGGGCATGACAAATGCAGACTTGAGGATTCCAACAGTTCGATTCGTATTAACCCATTGCAATGTAATATACAAGGTAGTTGTGTACCATGTCATGGCAAGAGCCAAACAGATAAAATAAATGAATGGAGATTTGCATGCTTGGTAAGAACTGGGCTGGATTTGCTGTTTAGCAGCTATTTTGTCTGTCCCCGGCACTTCAGGCTTTTACTGAATTGATCAAAGAAGCAGGAAACAGGAGGGATGCTTTTGAAACTGTCTCCCAGGATTTAGGTTGCGGCCTGTGAAAGGCTACTGGACACTGGCATTTGCATTAGTCAAAGCAAAGCTGGCTGTTGCCAGCGCAACACAGCCACTGCATTGATCACTGACCAGGATAAACATCACAGCCATTTCTCACTTTGCCATCCTCTATCTAAGCCGCTTCTGTATGAGTTGAAGAGCACACACAGGACACAGGCACAAAGGCAGGAGTTTAACAGATGTAGGTGTCTGCATGAATTTTGAGAAACAGTTGCCTAACTTGGGAGGAAAATGTTATTTACTGAAAAATCATTTTCAGCTGTGTAAAGACGGACACAAGTGGAATTTCTCCAACATTTGATTTGACTTGCCTGGCTTGGACAATATTACCCTAGAATAGTTAACTCTTTAACCTACTCCAGACATAAAATTCTTTCTGCAGTGTTCTGTGGGAGTTTTCTGACATCCCTTTTGTTTCTTTTGAAATATTTGCCATCATATTCTTTCGATCTGTACAAAATGAATATAAATCAATAAGAACATTTTAGAGTGGAGATAGGTGAAAACAGGCTTCGCTGTTTAACTTGACAAAGGTGTTTTAGCAAGGTTTATTTTGTAAATCAAGTTGGCACACATAAACTAAAATACGAGTTGAAAAAATGTGACCGACAAAGCTTGCCAAATGACTCTTATTTTTCTTTTGCTTTGCCTGTTATTGCACAATTATAACCATATTGCTACAGCCTACAGTAAGAGAAACATCTGGACTGTGATTTATTTTAATGTTCTTCAGTGACTCATTCATTCAATACATTTACCTCAAGTGTATGTGTTTCTAAGAAGATTCATACTTCTACTTGGTCCATATAATTTTTTTTCCCATCTACTATATACAGTTTTTCTCCTATACAGATAATCTTTCATTTTACCTTTGATTTTTTTTTCTTTATTCTTCAGTTAATTTTCAAGATGTCATTTAATACTACTTTCCTTGTAAAGGCTCTTTAATCCCTGAATATCAGCTATTAGAGCTCAAAAGGAAATCATGTCCACTTTCCTGCTTCACCTGCTCCACCACATGTAATAAGAAATGAGGATTTCACATTTCTCCAATCATAGTATTTCAGCCTGAATCAGCATCTTCCATAACAAAAGAAGAAACTGTAAGTAAGTTCTGAAAAGAGTAAAAAGAAATTTTTATTAAAGTGCTATTACTAATGAAAAACCTAAAGGAGTTATTAGTGCAGCTTTTTACACTTCCTTAGTTCCCCCAAAAAAGGGAGACAATAGACATGCAAACTGAGACAAAATGGATTTTGTTACCAACTGTCATCAGAAGTCATCACACAAATAGTAAACTTGCAAAAACCATTTTTTAGCCTTTTTACAGTTTTAAAAATACAGATTAATATCTTACACATTTAAAGTAAATAAACAAAGAAATAAAACCAAGAAAAGAAGGATCAAATAGTTTAGCTATGCAAATCTATAGAATATATTTTAAACATCTCAGGCACTGTATTTAGTTATTTAAGTATGAATTTAAATTTTCAAACTCTTACCTGGTTAATCAAGTATTTGCCTCATCAAAGGTGTCCTTACGTCACACTTTTTAGAAAGAAAGCAAAGAAGATGCTATTTTAACTGCAGCAGGGTGAGTTCAGCTTTGCTGTCTCCATTAGAGTGTAGCAGGACTGCATTTGAGCTAACACATTTAAATCCTTCATTAGAAAGAAAATTCAATGTAGGAAAAGTAGCAGAATTAAATTTAATCCTATTGTTACAGATTACATTAGAAATGAGGCATAAACCACAGCCAAGGAGAAAAGGAAAGACTATGTGGGACAAATCTAGAGCTGTTTGAAGACACTGACATATATTCCTTCAAAGTTTACTCCAGTGTCTTGGCATTTTGTGGGTACCACACAATAATGCAGTAATGGCCAAAGGCACACATTGTTACTCACTCTTAATTCACTGCCTCCTGAGCTTTTCCAGCCACCTCTCCACACCAAGGTTTATGTGTCATTCAGACCTCTAGCTCTGAAAAGTACCTTGGAAACACCTTTCTGTTCTTGCCACCTGTGTCTTTACCCTACCTGGATTCCTTACCAGGAACAGGTCCTTGCCCTACCTTGACTCCTTCCCAGGAACAAAGCAGCAAGACCTCTTACTCTGAGAAGAGAGTGAGGAACCTCATGGGCCCAGTTTGCATTCTGAGCTAACTGCATGGTCCACCATGGACATAAACTGGAAAGGCACTCCTTGGAGTAGTGAACAAGTTCATGGGATGGTCCAAGTCAGATTCATCTGTGGCTTCTGCCCTTTTTTGAAGTGAGGAGATATTGGCACACATTTTCTTCATGTGTGTCATGCTGCAGTCCCTCTGGCAACACTTTGCACTCTTTATTTTTATCCTCCTTATCAAAGACCACACCAAGTCCTAGGACTTTCTCAGTAACATCCTTTAGATCTGGTCAAAACTGCAGTCCATGAACCCTGGAGAAACAAGCTCATCAGAGACCCCACTTTTAATTCCTTGTCCCATCACATCTTTAGGAAGTGCATCCCTGGCCTTCATACATCAGCCCTGTGGGCACTTTCAGGGTGTGTTGAGTGCTATTGGGGGTGTTCTGCCCTATGGTGCCCTTAGTTCCTTTTATTTTGCTGTTTTGTATACTTTTGTCCTTCAGCCCCATTCTTTTTTTTTCATTTGTCATCCACTGTAATTACTAGGTTTTCTCTTTCTGTAATCCACCTTCTCTTTTTTCCTTGGTTTTATAAACCAGAGAAATATTAACATTTCCAGACGTGATCTGGTTTCTCCACAATAGAGAAGAGTGGCCATGGGGGGCACAGGTGCTGTCCCTACACATCTCCTGCATGGCATTGAGAAGGGATGTCTGGCTCAGCAGCACAGCTCCTATGCTGCCTTCCCCACACCACAGCAGAGGGAGATCACAACCTGCTCTCACACCAACACCCTGCACCACCAGTGCATCATCTCTACCGCCACCATCCCCACCATCTCTACCACTCCCATCCCCCTGTGCCCCAACATGTGTGGGGCTGCATCTGGGCACCACTCCCTGGTCAGTCAGGGCACCACTCCCTGGTCAGTCAGGGCACCACTCCCTGGTCAGTCAGGGCACCAAGAGTTCAGGGATGGGAAGAACCAGCCTCTATTCCTGTGATGGGGGTGGGCAGCAACCTATGCTGTGTGCTGCTAATTTCAGTTTCCAAGTGTGCTCTAGGGAAGTCTGGGAAGAATTGTTAAAAATTACATATCATGTTTGTACACATACACAAACCCCAAACCCAAAGCAAAACTCAAACCATCTCAGTACAAGATAATGAAGCTTTCAGTTAAAAGGTGCATGTTTGTCAGACAGAAAGCATTACTGATGCTGAAAGGGACTTCTGTGACAAAAATCCATATGAAATAAAGTAACTTTAGAAAATATATATATATGCAATTAGTACTATTTTTTCTTCCTTAAATCTTCAGTCTGTTGGTAACATTCATTCAGAGTTTATAGCTTCTGTAGCTGCTTTTGTTAAATGTATCAACATACATGTAAACCATCATGCAGAATTTCCACATAAGCAATAAGTGCTAATTACACTGTGGAAACCAAGACAACCTTCCTTATCCTAATTCACGCAGGCATGTTGCAAAGAATTCTAAATATTCCTAAATCTGTTCCTTAGTGGAATCAATGTCTGGCATTCCATACAGTCCCATGGTAACAGGGAATAAAAAGCAGGAAAGGCTTTAATTATCATATATTAAAATGTACTTTGAGCATTTTCTGTGAAAGAGACAGAGAAGACATTGTGTATCAAACCAAATATGTACTGAATTATAATGGAGCCCATGTAGTGACATCACTGCGTACAAATATTCTATGCTAGATTCACTTATCTAGAGAAAACACTGCACCCAGCCAGGCCTCACCTCCTCAGCACCTCTTGGGTGCAGGACGCTGCCACCACTCCTGATCTGCCTGCATAATTACCCATAACTGATCTAGTCAAGATGACACATGTTAGGATCAGGCTACAAATTAGTGTGACGCAAACCCCTCCACACCAGTGGACCCTCTAGTTCAATACAAGTGTCGTACAAAAAATAGTAGATGTGATTCCAACTCTAACTCCACCGACAGTTTAGCCAGCTTCACTCAGCGATATCCTGGGCCCCTAGGAGACTGGTCTCTGAAGTCAGTGGCTGATCTTCTGACTGGAAAATAAATGCTTTTTTTCTCAGTAACCAAAAATAAAATTGCAGAGTTTAAAAAAACAGAGTTGTTTAATTCCTAGTAAAAACCATTTCTGACATTGGTATATACTGCAGACTCCAAAATGCTAGAGGAATGTATTTATTATGAGCTTATATGATCTCAGCACACAAACTGAAGCTGTTTTCTGGTATGTGCAATCCTAAATGCTTTCAGCGTAAACAGATTCAGCATTATTACTTCTTCAATCTTTACTGATATTAAAGGAAGGATCAAACAATGAGTGCTCCAAATCCATATAAAAAGCAAATGAATGAACCCTTAAATCACTGGCATTCTCTCACATTACATTTCACTGGGAGACGATGTCCACTACAAGCAACTTCTTCCCTTTTCAAATAAGATACCACAATCATAATTTTAAACAGTGGAAATAGAGCAGAAAGAGCACTGCAGGGCTTCCTTGGCTCTTTAAGGACAGATTTTGACATACTCTTTAACTGAGTTAATCAGAGTGTTACAGGTGTTCACTTTAAGGTATGTTTTGCAAGCTATTATTAAAAAAATATAACCAATTTTCATAAGTTATGAAGTCTTTATAGAAAAGTGTGTTCAGTCTTGATTCAAATACAACTGAAATTTATGTCTGCTGAAGACTATCCTCAGGTGTAATCAAACAATTTACTGAATTAGCAAAAAAAAAAAAAAAAAAATTACAAGACTCTATTAGAAAAAGGATTAAAAGTTTTAAAGAAACATTATTGTAATTGTGAAGATATATCACTAAACTCAAGACTTCACATTACGCACCAATATAATGCAGTGTCTCGGTTTAAAACCCAATAAAATAAAATGGGATAATTTCTATGGAGAAGGAATTAAATATTTTCATTTCTGACTTAAAAAAACCCTGCTTAGATAACAGAAGAAAGATAATTTCATTTAATTCAAGGTTGCAATTACACTGCAAGATTTTGTCTTTCAGAGCCTGAAACACAGTCCAACAGGCACTCAGTTGTTATAAATTCCTTAAGTACCCATTCATAGTAATTGGAAGGAAAAATTGGGGATCCAGCTCTTTGTTTCTTCCTAATTTGACAAGTACTGAAGATGAAAGTGTTACTTTCTATTTGTTTTGGGGTATTTTCTTTTTTTTTCTCCACTTTTCTAAAAGTTCAGAAGACAAAAAGAATAGTTTGAACAAAAGTTTAAGACTGACAATTACAACAGAACAGTTTGGATCCTCTGAATTCCCAGAAGCCAAGCTAGTTCTGGCAGTCACCTCTGGTAACCTGCTCTTCTACTAAGGCACAGATACACGTACATACACTTTCTCAGCAGAAAGAAACAAATTGATTAAAAGTACCTCTGTGCTTGACTTGGTTTAAGTTGCTCACTGCCTGTTAGCATAACACTGTGACTTGGCAAGGGTCATATCTGGCATCTAAAACCTTCCTCAAAAGAATACGATTTCAGTATATGGCCTGTTACAGGCCCATCCCAGAGGTGCAGAAGACAGGGCTAAACCCAGTTTTTGCAGCTGACACCCTGGAAGCTAAAGGCCCAGGCACACCCATTTCCAGATACCTTTTAACTCCAGTTAATACCAGACTTGCCATTGTCAGGAGGGAAGCAGCACGGGCACCTCACAAGCTGGAATGAGGGGACTGCAAACCAGGGACACCTTATCCAGAGGGGCACTTCACCTTTCATGCTAGCTCCAGCCAGTCTTTGCCCAAGCTGCAGAGAGCTGAGAACTGGCAGCCCAGCTTTCCTACCTGTCAGCACTGAGGGCAGTGAGAGTGAAGACGGAGACACCAACGGAGGTGAGCTGGATGACAGGGATGAGCTTGCAGCCCAGCTCCCCAAAGAGCCACTCCTCAGAGAAATACCGGGAGGCGTCCACGGGGACACAGGTCACTAGCAGCAGCAGATCACCAGCTGCAAGGCTGGAGATGAAGATGTTGGGCACACTTCTCATGGCACTGTTGGAAATGAAGATCTTCATAAGTGTGATGTTGCCCAGCAAGCCGACAGTGATGATGAGGAGGTAAAGCGATGGGATCACACAACGGATGATGAACATGGCCGTGCCCTTCTCTGGGGGCAGCAGGGCTGTGTCGGGCACCAGGTGGGCACTCCCATTCTCCCCAAGGGGCATTGTTGTGAGCTCGGGCGAGAGCTCTGGCTCCATCCTCCAGCTTCGGGTGGACTGAGGGTCTCTAGCGCAAAGTGCAGTGGGAGCCACTGGAAAGCTTTACTTTTCTGCAAGTCAACCAACTTTCTCCCCCCTTCCCTACTGCCCTTCTTCCTTCCCCTTCTCTGACGAGTTTTTTCCCTTCAGAAATGCAGAAGAATGTCCAACGGTGCAGTGGCGGGGGAGGGAAATAAAAATTTCCATGTTCTGCCCCTCAGCTTTTCGCACAAGCCTGTCCCAGTGGGCAGGTGGCAAGAGATCCTGAGCCTTGCGGGCAGCGAACGCCGTCAGGACAGCGGCTGCCTGCCCTCGTCCCCGGGAGAGCCCTCGGATGCTCGGTCCGGCCACCTCCCCGCGCCCGCAGCGGCCCCGGGGCCGCCAGCGCTGTCCAGCGGCGCCGGCGCTGCTCGGCCCGCAGCTGCGGGCGGCGGCGCCAGAGGCGGGGGCGAGGCGCAGAGCAAGCTCCCTCCTTACTCCGCAGCCCCTGTTTATACCTGGTACCGGGAGGGGCCGCCCCGCCTCTCCTCCTGCAGGCGCCTGTGCCCTCGCCCCCAGCCCCGAGCTGCCGAGGTGGATCTTGCGCGAAAGGGAGAGGCGGATCCCGGAGCCGGCGCCGTCCCGCGGGGTCCCAGCCCCTGAGCGCGATGGAGACGACGGGAGGAGCGGGAGGGGCGAGGGGAGCCTCACCCCCCCGCCGCTGCCCTCCGCAAGCAGTCCCCGAGAGATGCTCTCCGACAAACCGGAGAGCTGTCCGCCACGTCGGGCAGAACGCGGGATCGCCTCCGGAAACCAGTCTTCCAGCATTTTACCCAGGTGAAACCACGGCGCTTTGAAACGCAGGGTGACAGGGAGCGAGGGACTTGGAAATAAAGCGATTTTATTCCTGACATCCAGCTGTGGGTTCTGCATAGATTTTACTCAAAGGCATCAGCTGTGTTTAAAGTTTTAGGGTTTGATTCGCGAAGTTGCATTTCATAGTGGTCTCGACATGGAAAGGGAGACAGATGTTGTCTTTTTTCCGTGACTTACTATGCAAATGGTATAACACAGTGGAGAATGAATGTTGTTTGCCTCTTTGAAGAGTAGCATTTGTCCCTAGTGTTTCTCGCTTTTCAGTGAGGTAATGTCTTTTACTTCCTAGTGTCTGCACGTGTGTAGGCTTCCCAAACAGTTCCATCTGTTTCCAGCAGAAGCCATGAATGTACATAGCCGTGTACATATGCTGGAAGACGGGCAGACCTACTGAACTGAAGTTTTCGAGACAAAGTACTAATGCAGAGGAATAACAGCATTAGCCATTAACACGCTCTGCAGACTTATTCCTTTATTTCCTTTTCTCAAAAGGAGGATGTATGAGTTTGTAGCAAACTTGATTATTCATGTTATTAAGAGTTCTCTTGAAGCTCTGTGAGTTTATGACAGGTGTATGGAGAGTCTGTCCACTCAAATATCAGAAGCAAAGCATGTCCCATGTGCAGTGATACATAGTCTGTCCATGGCATGCTGTCTAGTGTAGGAATTAAATCAGAGATTTCTCTTAAATAAATTTTTACTAAGATTATCAAACAAAAAGCATTAATGTTTCTTAAAAGTTACACCTCTCTGTATCAATTGATTGATCGTTGTGATTCTTCTCACATCCCTGAAGATATAAATGTGTTAAAGTTGTGTAAATTACTGATTCATATAATGCTGAAAAATTTGTTAGAGACCCAGCCAGTGCTTCGCCTCAGAAAAGATCAGGCTAGAGACTTCACCTTTACCACTAGGCGGCTCATTGGAATTGTCACAGAGCTCCTCTGGAAGTGATTCTTGTTACTGATCAAGTTTCCTCCACACAGTGTTAAATGCATCTACAGTTCCTCCGAGGCAGCCTTACTGATGGCTTAGATATTTATCTAAATTGGTGTGACCCTCTACTTTGCTGAGTATACACGAAATTTTCTAAGATCATCAATATTGAGGTCTCTGCTAACGCTCTGAATCAGTCTTTTTGGTTCCCATTGCGGGATCTAATATATGTCTTTAACACTGTGAGCTAAATTTTAACGCTGAGAGTATGATCCTTTTGCTAATTTATTTGAAAATGGGTTTATATATGAACAATCAATATGCTTCCCATTGGGAGAACAGTTTAAATTCAACATATATTTAATATTAATTATTTGGGACAAGAGGAAGTTGAGTCTTTTCGCATGAATATCATCAGAAGAACACTTTAAAAGCTTCTATTGGCAGAAGCTTATTGCAGTTTGAGTGGAGAGAAGTGAGACTCCTTGCTTTTTGTTGCACAATATTACCACTCCTAGTGCTGCCTTCCAGGAGAATTTCTTCTATCCTAATAAATTTTATCTGTCCTTTAGTCCACAGTAATTCCTAAGGTTAAGGAATTAGAAACATTTTCAGTGTGAATTTATGTTCTTGATTTTTATCGGTACTTGATTTTATCTACTCTATGTTTTTCAGAACTCTGAACAGCAAGGAAATAAGCTTTGGAGAGAGTGAGTGACTCCAGCTCAGAGAAAACAAAAATTTAGATTATGCTTCTAGTGTTGTTCAACAGATGTCTGTGTAAAGACAAGGGAATACACTCAAACAGTATGAATATAAATTCCCACAGAGGCAAAAAGGTATTGGGGGGAAGATCCACAGACCCTGATATAAACCAGTCGGAATTCAGATCTCCACATAAACTGTTCTTCATTCTCTTTTCAAACAAAATTAGTACACCCACGTCTTTGGATCTTATTTCAGATTACAGCCCTGAGACAATCTCATCATGCAGCTGTGACACAGTACTTGGCACAAGAGCAAGGGAGAGAGTGCCACAGGTAAGTGTCCTTAGTGAGAAAGAAACTGCACAGGCACAATCAGCCAGCACAGATGGAGTGCATCTGGGAATGCAACACCATAGGGCAGGAACCACAAATGTGAGAGGTAAATACTCTTCATCAGTAATTCCCAAACGTAGGGATTCATAAGCAGTTCATGTAGGAATGAGGAACTCCACACACCTCACAAACGCCCTCTACCGAGAAGTTGTTCTGACAGAGAAAAACACTTCTTTCCCACGTTTGTGCAGCTCAAGGCACTTGATAATTCCGGGGCTAATTCCAGATTTGCACATCACAACAAGCTTTGTGTAGTCCCATTCAAGCATATCTGCCACCAAAACTACCTGCAGTAAGAAGACTTTATTCAGTATGTGTGCTTGCACATTAAATGAAAACTGGGTTCAAATGCAGCCCTGGAAGTGATCATGTTTGAAAGCCTGATCATCAGTCACACATTAAAAAGAAACATGGCAATAACCAAGGAAGAAATAGTATTTGATTTTAAACACTGAGCATCGGGAACCAAGCCTTTCAATAAATTTTGTAGTATCACACCTTAGACCAGCAGACACAGCTGGAAAAAGTGGGCATGCATTGTAACAAAGAGTGACTTCTTCCAGACAGTCAAATGTACAATAACCTTAAGTAACTCCTGTTTTCTTTCTTGTTACTTCTCAATAGAGGCTTTCTTATTTTGATGGAGGGTTTTTTTGGCAGAGATTTTCATTTCAGCTTCTTGAGTTAGGGGCTCTATTTAAAGGACAAGAGGCTACTGAAATAGATCATTTCCCCAGGTTTCAGAATACATAACAGGGTTTGCAACTGTTCCTATGTGGGTAGCTAGAAGTGGGTCCAAGAAGCACCTGGGAAGAGTAGGCAGAGTCGAAGAAAGGCACGGAAGGAGACAAGGTCTCTCTAGCTCGGTATGAAATGCTCCATGTTTGGAGTCAAGGAGGACAACTGTTCAGTTTCTAAGATCACATCTCTAAGGCCAGACCTCAAACTCTAAGGTTAGACATTCAAACATCAAGCCTCTACAATTCTTTTACTAATAAAATAGCACTGGAAGTTAAACATCTCATAGGCATTGCCAGTGCACTCCCTGGGAGAAGCTGATATGAGAAGAATTATTATCTTATTCTAAAGATAAGAATTATTGTGGATTTGTGTGGAGAATGTCACAAATAGCATAAGCTAGAAAACTAAATATATTTAAAAGAGAAACACTAAGTTCAACTATGGCTGCTCAGGGATAAGCTAACTAACATAAAATATGTCTGATATGTGCCATGTAGTCCTTTCCTCTTCAAGACTCCAGGGAACAGAAGAAATACCTACATTCTGTGGTTAATGCTGGGCTCTGTCTAACACCAGTACTATATCCCTGGAGCACTGGGCTACAAGCAGAAGTTTGTGGCCTCCCAAGCCTGGAAAGCTCCAACAAACACCAATATAGAAATTCTTCCTGTTAAGTCTGTATGGCTGGGCAAACCATGTGTAGAAAAGAATATTGGTGATTCATCATGTGTATTTCTTAATTTTTTTAGATTAAATTGACTTTGAATTAATTTTAAAAAAAAGTGAGGAAGAAGCTGTATTTATGACACATCTTCCCATATTGCGTGGCATGGCTGAGCCATATCCCTGTCCAATAAACCTAGACACTTGTCCACCCCTCTCAGCTCTCAGACTTTACATCCTGCCTCCTATTTTTTGTGCCACACATAAATCAGCAGTGAGGAGGATCTGAGGAAGTCACCTGACTCCTAAGACTCCTGGCCTAGCGGAAAGTGAAGCAACCTCCATCTCAGATCCAAATTGAAGTGCAGGCACCAGTCCGCAACTGATAGAGGCCTCCACTGGACCTAAGCTTCAACACAGGGAACTCTGCAAAGCAAAATGGAAATTCAGGTGCTTCCAACATTAGACAAAGCTGGAAAGCTGTCAGAAGCAGCTGTTTTCCAATATTTAGCATGCTACCTCTCTTTTTGCAGAAAAAAACTTATTTTATTGATACCAATTCAATTTTTTGTGCCATTTTCACGGTCCTGTTTCTTTCATGGCACAAGGGTAATAGGGGCCACTGCATTTAACCATTCTATTAAAGCAGTGAATTGGGTGCTTAATGTTAAACACACAACTCATCCCTCCAAGCACAACTGCAGCTTTATGCATGCATTTAGATTCCATTTGTTTTACTATGATTATTCAGTAGGACTCCAACTCATTAAAAGGTTAAAGAGCACATAGCTGAGTTGCCAACTTGAGTTGAAAGACAGGCTTAGGACTGACTTGGAAACAAGTGTGATATCAACATCTTCCATCCCATTTGTTTGTGATAGACAATTAACAGACAGCTGCTTCTATAGATTCAAAACAAATACTGATTTTCTGTCAACAAAGTCCCACGGAATGGCTTGAGTTTTGTCAGCAGACTGCATTCAAAAGGACTGCACAATGCCAACTTACTCTACTTCCATCTCAAGTTATCCTCCTAATGTGGTGTTGCAAAGCACATTATTGAACACACATGACAAAAGAAAAACATTGCTATTAGTTTCTCCTAGTGTGAAGATAATGGGATTCCTGTGCTTGATCTCACATGGCAGGTATTGAGCCACTTCAAAGAAAGTGACAATTTTATTGTGGGCACATTTATCACACTCAGGGGGGTTTCAGTGCAGACGCTCATGGGGTTTGTACTGGGTTTATTTGACGACCTCTCCAGAATTTTTCTTTTTTTTAGTTCAGTGCAGCTGTATTCCTTATGTGTTCCCAGAACCAAATCAGGGCATTGCCAGATAACTCTTCTTTTAGCATCTTTATCACAGGACAGAAATTCAAGTTTCCATAGTGCTGTTTCTGAAGTTCTACAGAGAATGATTCGATTGTCTTAGATTAGATTAGATGATCTAATCAGGTAAGTAATTACATGATCCTCACCTAAAAATAACAAGATGCAAAGTAGCATTTGTATAGTGCAGCTTTTTTACCTAAAATGTGTTCTTAAATATTGTTTCTGCCTATAGTGGAATCAAATGCTGACCAAACGTCATGACTATTGTGTGTTCATGTGCATCAATTAATGTGCAAATAATTACTACTATACCAAGCATAATGAAAAGCACAGAAAGATCTGTCTTCATTTAGAAACTAGGAAATTTTCGGTTTTCCTGTTATTGCATTTATAAACATTTCTGCTTAAAGAGATCATAATAAATACTAAAACAAGTATTTTTGAAGTATATTCAGCAGCAGGTTTTCAATAGCAATTCACATTTTAAATAATGAAATTATTGAAATATTACTGACATTAAACATCTGCACAGTGTGCTGAGCTAATTTAGTCATTGCATACTATTGTGGGAACATTCAAATTACTTTTGGATGATAATTAAGCTCCAGATATATTATGTACTGAAAAACAATTCACTGTAATCACAATTACTGCATTTTGGTGAAGGTTAGTCACACAGTCTGGGAACCACAGTACTTTATTGTAGATTACATACCACTATGAGGCATTATTGCTTTTAGTTCATTCCACATACGCAAACCTCAGCATTCACTCTATGCAGCAGAGCAGAGCAGCAGATTGCATTATTAAAAGTTTGGAAACCCAGTCTCGGTGTTACTGATACAGCACCTTTTACAGTACTCCATGAGATAAACAGACATTTCATTAACTGCCTGAACTAGAAATTGTAGTAAATAACATGTACTTATTGGAGCATTTTTCAACATCTTTGCAACTGAGCTACTTCAGCAGACACAGGGCAGATTCCCCTTACAAAGGATGTTCTGATGTCTTACTACAGTTATTTTAATGATGTCATTAATGCAGTCACATCGAGGTACCTTGTACACACACAACAGCTAAATCCATACATAAAATGAACCGTGATTCCCATCTCTTCCCTCCTTCTGCCTAGGCTTCCATGCCTCTGAGCATTCATCACAGAGGGAACAATGCCTTTTGTTACATCAGCCTGAAGTCACGCTGCAACCAGTTACGAGGGAGGTTCTCTCATGATAGAGGGAAAAGAATAAATGCCCCTCTTTGGATTTGTCATCTGGATTTCATTTTCTTGTGCGCCCAAAATACCAAATAAACTGTTGCACTCCAGTGACTGACAAGTTAGCATTTGCCCCTTACTGGTTTCCTGTCTTCTTCCTCTCTCCATCTTCTCGTAAAACTCCCACTGGGTTCAGACCACTGAGTTGATACATCCTTAAGGCTATTTACCAGCAGGAGTGTCTAGCATCCGTATGGGCTCACATGCCTAGCTCTTCTAGAGATCTTTCAACTGCACATACTGAGTAAGCTGGCAAATTATCAATTGCAATTATAGCCATTAAGTTATTAATAGCAATTTTAGAGTGGTTAATAATATTTAATTCAATTGCTAGTTCTTTGAATTCAGAATCGTGGACCAACGGATTCCAAGTCTTGTTGTGTCCTTTCTTTTTTATTGGACTTAGTTAAAAAGCGGCTATTAAACTCTGGATGTTCCGGCTCGCTGGGTGCCGGGTCCTCCAGCCGACGGCAGCCCCGATAGCGATGCGCCGGGTTCTTAACCGGGACCGGGGACGGGCCGGGGTGATGGTCGGTACAGCGGCGGTGAAAGGCCGGCGTAAGGCAGCGGGGCAGGGGCAGGTGCGCAGCCGGCAGGGGGGCGGCGGTGGCGGCCAGCGCTGCTGACGGTGCTGGCCCGGGATTATCGTCCGGCGCCAACCGACCCCGCTTTTGCTGCGCCCCTGCCGGCCCGACCGCGGGGGCCCGCCCGGGGGCAAAGGGCGGAGCGAGCCGGGGCCGGGGCCAGGGCCGGGGCCAGGGAGGGCTCCGGCTCTGGTCGCCGCCGCCCACGCAGAGTACCTTCCCCAGACATGTCCCCCAACTACATCCGGAGCTTCTCGGAGGGATGTGTGAGTACCCGGGGGCGGCTCCCCACGGCACTGCCCGGAGCCGGGGTCTGGCCCCAAGCCGCGCGGGGGCCGCGCCGCGCCCGCCGCCCCCGAGCACAGGGCAGCGGTGCTGCCCGGGCGGGACGCTGAAGGCGGCTTGAGGGGGGCTGTAAATGGCCCTGTGGGGACCTGAACTTTAATTTGCAGGAATAAGTATGGTTATAAGTATGGCTGGGTTTGATGGTGGAACGGCGGTCCGTGCTTTGCCATCACCTGACATCATGTCAACAGCAAAACGAATAGACTTTGGGTCGAAACGCTCAGCTCCGTCTGGCGCGTTCTGCAGCAGCGGAATACAGATAAAGGCAGTGAAACAAATGAACTGACAACTGCTAGACAAATGAACGTTTATATAAAATTAGTAGGAACAATAAAAGTGTTGTAAGCCGTTATTTTGTTAGAAAGCTACTGCAGCCTTCATAGGCAAACTCCTTTTAAAACAAGTAGAATAAAATAAATATTTTGGATAATGAAAAAAAGCAAGTAGACCTCCAACAATAACAGTGTTCATTTTTGTTTTTATGGTGAATAACCCTGTGATTTGCAGCTCAGGCCACCAACGGTAATTGGCCAATTCCACACTCTTTTTTTTGGCTCAATTCGAATGTTTTTCCTTGGCGTTTTGGGCTTTGCTGTTTATGGAAATGAGGCCTTGCATTTCAGCTGTGACCCAGACAAGAGAGAGGTTAATCTTTTCTGTTACAACCAGTTCAGGCCTATAACTCCTCAGGTAATTATCTTTTTTTGTTTGTTTTTTTTTTTTAATTGCAAAAATCTAATATGAAGAAAATAAACTGCAAAATTTAAACATGAGTGTTCCATATAAGAAGTAGTAACTGACTGGGCTAATTATCCCTATCTTTTTTTCATTAATATATTCCTTTTAATAACCCTTTATCTGTGACTAAATATGGATTTGTGCTTTCTGTCCTTCATAACAACACTCCTAATGTTTCAGAAACCAACTGAAATTTCAAATCAAAACATAACAGTGATTTTACCTTTATTGTCATCTAAGTGTTTAAACATTTAATACATGTTAAAAACAGACTTGCAAAATGTTCCAATATGTGTGCATTTTAACTGTCCCTATGCAGTTGTAAATGATCTGACAGCTATCTTTCCGCTACATTTTAGGTATTCTGGGCTTTACAGCTGGTGATTGTACTCGTACCTGGAGCCTTTTTTCACCTTTATGCTGCATGTAAGAGCATCAAACAGGAAGATATTCTTCAAAAGTCATCCTACACGGGGTTTTATATCTTCTCTGTTTTCTTAAGGATTGTCCTTGAAGTTGTTGCTTTTTGGCTTCAGATTCAGCTCTTTGGTTTCAAAGTGAACGCAATCTACATGTGCGATGTGGGAGCACTTGAAAAAAAGTTTAACATTACCCGGTGCATGGTGCCAGAGCACTTTGAAAAGACAATTTTTCTTATTGCAATGTATACATTTACTGTGATTACAATGATCTTGTGTGTTGCTGAAATTTTTGAGATCTCATGTAGAAGGCTAGGTTTCTTAAAAACTCAGTGAGGTCAACCACTCCTACTCATTTACCACCGTGTCCACCTGTAGTTTTATCAAAATTATTTCAAGCCATAACAAAAAACATTTCTTGTCCTCTATGTAGTGTTGCAGAAGAGAACCACACTCACGATTACTGCTGCAGAATAGTCATCTGACATTTACTCCTTATCTAAAAACTACCACGTTATGTGAATAATCTTTGTTTCCATGTCAAGACTAAAGACAATAAGATTTAAAAGAGTAACATATTTTCATGACCTACCACAAACAATAGTTTTGCCTCCAGAGGAATGTCTGTATGTGAGGAGGAGGTAATTTATAAATGTACTGTTATTCACAGGTTTTCTGAATGCATGCGATGGGGGCTAATAAGGTTATTGACCTTCCAAGAAAAACTATTCCAAATTTCTTACATGTTCTTATGGCTTGAGAATTAAGCGGTAATGGTGGATAACCTCTGAGTACCAGAAAGCATTTGAGCATCTTCCAAATCAGTGCCACTGTTACAACCTGCATCTCAGCTCCCTAGGGCAGAGACTCCTGGTTAGAACTGTGGGTACAACATATCCATCAATACTCGCTTGCTTTGTAGTGGTCCAGCTAGTTTCACGTGCTGGCTGGGAATCTCCTTTTATAAGTGAGAGAGTCACATAATATTCTTTGTGCTGACTGGAATGCCTTACCCTCCTTATGTTTTGGCTTAAGATGTAGAAGATTTTTAATAATTTAGTATGATCCCGTTTTGAAAGAAGTAAAGACTTAATTTTGCATAAGAGGCTTAAAAGTGTCAAAATAAAATATCGACGATAAGCCTTCTCTAGACCCAATAATGACTTGATTTCAGTGAGAGTTTTGCTTGTGTATGACTGCAGAATTGGGCCCACAGAATTTTTTCCTGTATGTGTCACACCTAACTTCTTGCTCTGACTAAAGTTGCTAGAATAACAGCTAAAAAAGAAGTCTGCATACTAAAATTATTCTATGCAATAAGTGTATGTGGTTAGGTTTCAAACTTTATATAGGTATCAGATATTTTTGTATGCAACAGTTTCTTCTTAGGGACTAATAAACATATCAAATTTACAAGTGATTTCCTTCTGCTGAAGTGAGATAATGGAAATAAAACAGATTTTGAAACGGGAAAGAAAGGAGGAGGTAGTTTCCTGTATAAAATATGTAAGAATAGCAATCATAACAATTAGCTATTTTCTGTTTGTTTTTCAAACATAAAAACTTGAGGTCCCAGTGACATTTGGGTCCTTTCAGGAATATTTGGAAAATTCTGGAAAAATTATTACCAAATGTTTTAGCACCAACTGCTACTTATGCAGTCCCAAACAAGGTTGTAATCCTCACTCACAATAGTAGTCCTCGTTACATAAATGGAATTGCATGATTTAGGTGTCTTGGATTTGATTGAATCTGGGCCATTTAAAACAAAGTGGGTGACAATTAGATGTGTGATTTTTTTAATATGCTGATCAAGAACAAGATGATAAATTTCAGTGCATTCACTATATTAAAGTATTAATGTTATTTTTTTCCCTACGAGAATAAGATATATGTTGTCTTAAACAAATGTCCAGTCAACACCATCAGATTTGTTCAATATTAAACTTACTTGTAAGTTATTTGATATTTTCAAGCATTACAAGTGGAATAAAAATCACTGTGCTAATTTCTTGTTTGCATAATGTGCCATGTGCTTTGGTTGATACATGTTTAATTTTTCACTGTATATGTCAGTATCCATCTGGAATTATTTTTTGCAACTGAAACTTGTAATCTAAGGAAAAAAACCTTTTTTTATTTATAAAGGAATACAATAGATAGAACTACTAAAAAGAAGAATTTACTTTCATGTGCTAGGTGCAGTTGTGATCAATGGTATGCAAATCACAATCAGATATTTGTATAGTAATAAAATAACTTAATCACAACCTTGTCAGTATTTTCCCTAGTGCTTAATATTTCCATTGCTTGCTGTTCTTCTTCTGTAGTGTAGATTTCCAAACACTTCAGAGAGGTCAGAGGAGTGCCAAAACCCCCAAGCCCTCAGGGGATGTTCTTGTTAACCACCAAGAGCCTTGAAGTACTAGCATGGGACTGCCTGAGGATGCCCAGGGGAGCTTTAGGAGCTGGATTACCCAGCACTATGCCCTTTCCCTTGGTGGTCAAAATCTAGAACATACTAAAAAGTTTCCTTCTTGTAAATGAGATACAACACCAATTTTTCCCCTGTATTTCCTGTGAAATTAAGATAGTCAAATTCCTCTGTTTTTCATTTAGAAACAAAATGTGCATTATTGCCTTTTAGTGCAAATGTTTTTCTGTGACTGATTCTGTCATTAGTGTCTGGAAGAAGGTGATGGAGATATTATCTTCATGTAAAGAAACCATTTCCCCACAGTTGTCAACACTTCTTTTTCCTATATTTGCTATTTGTTTGCCCGGCATTCGTTGTACTCTCAAGGGTCTCTAAACTTTTCTTTTGCCTGGTCTCCCAAACTCCCACCACTTTAATCGTCATTTACATTGTTTTCTATCAGCTTCCTTCCACCCTTACTCCCTCTGAGATTGATATGCCTTCATGTGTTTCTCTGTGTTAACACCGATTTTAACTCAAATGCTTAGCATATATTTGAGATGATCTGAAGGTTTGGGGTTTTATTGCCCTTATAAAAGGAATTATATAATCCACTTTGGGATTCTTTGATTCAATTCTATTTCTTTACGCAGTGAACATGAAGTCCTGTCTCCCAGATCACTGAGGAAGCATTTTTGTTGCTTACATCAGGTTCACGCTGTAAATGCTTCTTTGATTTTTTTATTGTTCTCCACCATACTTGAGCCACCTCATTTTCACAGACAGCACTCAAAGCAATCCCCAGCTCATGTGTTTGTAGTCGGTTTTGTCTCTAGTCAGCGATCATGACCATTTTAGTTCTCACTTAACAAAGAGCTGTAATTGTGATGTGATTGCATTTACATCAAAGATATAGCTGTTCTGGGCCAGCCAGCTTCTAGTATACCACCACAACATCCCAGTCCTGTAACCACTTCTTGTTCTGTTCCCTTCTTGGCATCCTTTCGTTTGTTCAGACATCATTTCCCTTCTATTCTCTTTTCAGCACTCTCCCATGCCAGCAATGAGACAATGCAGCCATCTCTTCTACCCCATGCCTCCCTCCAACACACATCTTTTTTTATGCCCTGGTGCATTCACATTCTCTTGCCTTGCAGACAGTCATTTTGAGACCAAGAAGAGGTTTGGCAATAGGAATATCTAGAAGAAATTTAAAAATAATTTTAATTATTCTGTCATAATGAGAAGCTGATAGACACTGAAATAATTTGTGAGATCCATTTGAAACCATTTTGCTTTGACAGTTCACGACTTTTGCTGTTCTTATCTGCTCTCAGTAAAACCAGAAATCTCTGGAGGTCCCTCCAATAAGAAGTTATCTGGGAAGTAGTGATCCTACAAGATGTACGTTCCAGGGCTGGTGGACCTGCTGACAGCTGCTGGGAAGCAGCCCAGCCCTATTAGCCCGACCACGGTAGCATACGGCTTCTCCAGCGGGAGGAAGGGCAGAGGTCCAGGAGAGAAGGTGCAGTTCAGCCCACAAGGGCTCCCCGGACGCCTGGTGAGCCTTGGCGCAGCCCAAGGGGCAGGTTTTTCAATCTGAGATTTTACTTGCCGGTATACCTCCACAGGGAGGGTCTGCACAGCTCTTTTGGAAAGGAGACGAGGGATGGGAAGGGCGAGGGCATAGCCGGGGCCAGGCAGGGCCAGGGGAAGCCGCGGCCGCCCCGGGATCTCCAGGCCCTTCCTCACGGCTGCTGTGGGACGCGTTTCAAGCACTAAGGGGCCACGCAGGTGGCCCTTGAGGGTGTGGGTCCGCATTGGCGGACAGACGGACAGACGCGCCGCACGGCGCGATGCCTCCCGCCCGGCCAGCAGGGGGCGCAGTTCCGCCCCCTCTCTCCCCCGCCGGCCCCCGCCCACGGCGCCCGGAGCCGGAAGCGGAAGCGGCGCGCGCCAGCCTCGGGAGCGAGAGCTGTGCTCTGCCGCCTGCGCGCGCCATGGCGGCCCCGGCCCTGCCCCCGCTGCCGCCACCGCTCAAGAGCATTCAGCACCATCTGCGGACCGCGCAGGAGCTGGACAAGCGCGAGCCCGTGGTGGCGTACTACTGTACGTGAGTGAGGAGGAGGCGGCCGCGGCGCCGCCCCGCCCCGCCGGTCCCTGGCTCGGCCACCGCCCCCTGCCCCGGCCGCCAGTCGCCGCGCCGGGCGGAGCGCCCCTCCCTTCCCTTGCCCTCCCCTCCCCTGCCTTGCCCGCCTGGGGGGCCCGTGGGATGTGCGGGTTCGCGAGGGCGGTGGGAAGGCCCCACCTCTGGGCGGTGCCAGGCGGTCGCGGTCCTGCCCCCACCCGCCTCCTGTGGGCTCTGTCCTTTTGCGGAGTTAAAGGCTCTTCGCAGGCGGGGGCGTATGCCAGCAACCCGAGTGCATGCTTGGACACACTTGTGTGAAGTCCAGTGTTCCGTCAGTGTTGGGATAGCTGTAATAAGTATGGTATAAAATAATACTCGAGAGCCTTTTCGAAGTTTTTCTCCTCCTGAGAAGACCTCCTTTCTGTCCTGTGTATCTGAGTAAGCGTTTAGGGTTTGAGAGTCTTTGGTCCTGCCAGTAGTGTTCATTTTGTTTTCTGTAGGGCTTTGTCACCTTCTCAGGGTTCTCAAAAGGGGCGAGTGGGTGGCTCTTTTTCTCTTTGTTTCACTGAAATGAACACAGCAAAATCTTACTGTAAAACTTCCTAATTAATAGGCATATTTTTTAAGCTGACATGGCTTCTAAGCTAATGGTCATCAGGGTGGACTGTGAGCCTTTCTAAAAGACTTTTCATAGCGAACTAAGAAATGCGAGCCTGCTGTTAGTCTTAAATTCCTGTTACAGTTAAACCACACTGGGAAAATGCCTGAGATCACCAGAAATGTCTGTTTATGTCTGTGACGACCACTCCCCTTAAGGGAAAGGAGGGTATGTAGTCACAGTGTTGTTTATTTTTTTCTTTTTATTGAGATGCGAGATCATCTGAGGGGTTTACTTGGCTTGTCTTCAAAAAGAGCTAAAAACTAGATATAGTTTAATTTGTAAGGATGAATTCATGAAATTGGATCTTCAGAAAGCTCTGAAAAATTTGTCAGAAGAATAATATAAATTTCTATGTGTTACGCAGGAATACTGTGCTAATGTGGAAAACTGCAACCAGAGAAGGGAGATAGCTACATATTAGAACATTGGTTGTTCTCAGTGGTACTTGCTCTTTATTTAATGGCAAAACATGAGACAAGGCACACTTTGTGTAGCAGGAATCACCAGTTAGGTCAAGTTGCACTGATTTTTTGGTTTGGTTTTTTTGTGTGTGTGTTTCTTTGGGTTTTTCTATCAGATGTAACACCCTATCTGACTAGACAGGAAAAACACTAGCACTTAGTATAGATGACAAGATACAAGTCTATTTTTATTTTAAAACAGAAATGGTTAAGTGTCTGAACTCTATTTTTCTTCGTCTTTTCAATTCTGAAACTTAATGTAAGTCTTATTGTAGAGGGAAAAAAAGCCTGTGTTGGATAATTACCATTTTCTGTAAAGTTGTTTGCCTTGTCTGTCCTAAGCAGTCTGAAAATTTTATTTTTTCATTTGAATACTTCAACACATCTGATTAATTACTGAGTACAGTGAAGGCTATATTCTAATTAAAATATTACATAAAGTGAAAAACAGTGACACCTCTTTTTCAAGTTAGGTCTTGCTCAGATCCTTTGTTCTTTTAAATACACAAAGGAGAAGAATTAATTTTCACCAATGTTCCACTGGTGACACTTATTTCCTCCCATGGTGGATGAGTATTGTCTGGATTGACTAAAATGCGGAACTCCTGTTTCGTAGGATTTTTTTTTTCTTCATTTAGTTCTGGCTTTGAAGCAAAAAGATTTATGAACCATTAATTTTTAACATTGTGGGTTTAGAACAATTATGTGAAATCCCAAAGTATGAATTATTAATATTACTACTGTCCAAAAAATGTACTGCATATACTGCTAGCATTCAATGAATAATAAAAGCTTTACTGAAAAGATACGTTTCTAAAAGTGTAGGTCTGGGTATACAAAAAAGTTTCAGGATACTTTTCAGATAACGTTTTGAAAGCAATGCAGATTTATGTAGAGTTAAAGCAGTGTTTCTCATTAGATGCTTCACTGGAAAAAGTGAACATCTCTTTGTTTAGCCTTTGAAATGTGTTTCAGAGGAGCTCTATACATTTTCTATAATGTATTGTGTGGAGGGAATAGTGTGAGGAAATCTCGATGTGTGCTGGAACATGTGGTGTTCTCTGTGCTGGGGCTTCTCCACCAGCCTCATCTGCAGATGCATGACTAGCACTGTGTGTCCTGGGACCAGGAGGCTGGTGTTGCCCAGTAGCCAAAGGGGGCCCTGCAGTGACAGGTCATGTGGTGAGTCAGTGCTGCACGTTCTATCGCAAGGCTGCTTGCGCAGCCGCTCTGTGAGGCAGAACTTTTGGTCATCTGCTGGGTGTAACTATCAGTCTGAAGAGTGACGTGTTTATAGCTTTGGAATATTGCCATAAGTGGCTCATACCTATAACAAAGCTTT